AGTTAAAATATGTTAGAAATAAGTGTCACAGAGGCAGCATGGGGTACAAATGGTAAAAGCTTAAAAGGAAGAAAAATCCAAAGGGGCCCACATAAGAAGTTGTAATGGGCCTACCAGGAAATGTCCCAAGCCCTGGTGGGCTAACATGTCCCTGCTACCGTTCACAGAATTTTGTCTCTTTTTCTAGTATGTGGTTGAGGGCACATCAACGTGGAAGAACATGGCTGTCGATCCGAAAATAACAAGTCTCCAAGACCTAACACTGTTATTGAAAAAGGCATTCAACTTATTTGGGTAATTTTGTTTCTGTCAATTTGTCAACCCAGCAGTTAGATTTCTTCATAAAACAGGTTAAACATTTAATAATGGCAATTTAATAATGGCAAATCTGAATATTATTTATTTGCAAAGATTTTGAATATTCATGCACTGCAGACAATACAGTGCAAAGCATTAATTTCCTTACAGATGAAGATAGTCATGAAAGCACTATAATTTTAGTATAGGTAAATATTTTTAAACTTGTTTAAACTTGTTGAATGTTAATGTGTATATTATTGAGCAAACATTGTGTCTTTTGATAGTGTTGGGGCTTGAGCTGTTTGTAAGTTGGTTGTTTTTGAAAATATTTTAAATTTCACCCACCCCTAATTACATTATATACATACATTATTTATCAACTTTTTAATATTTCAATTAGCTTGAACCTGCAAGTGAAATTTGTTCTAGTGACCTCCATTTGTCATACCTGTTGCCAAAATCTTCTTGTAACAATGACAGAGAAGACTTGTTTCTGACAATAACATCAGACTGGGATTTGGATGCTGCATTTCGCAGTGTTTCTAGCCAATTCTTGGTGATAAAGATCAGTCAAAGTCAAGGTATGTTATCTTAACCATATGTCAAGGTATGTTATCTTAACCACAAGTCAAGGTATATTATCTTAACCATATGTCAAGGTATGTTAGTCACACACTTTTCAGACCATCTGACTTCAGAGCAGAAAATTGAAATCCAGACGCAGATCAGAAGCAATGTGAGAAGAAGAATAACGTCTTTGATTGGTTCTTTTGTTTATTACCAATCAGTGACACCTAACCTTCACCTAGTTGAATGGTTCCTAGATAGAAAACAAACTATTTCTGTATAAACAAGTCGGGATATTTTGTTTTGGTGTAAACAGATGATTTTGTTTTGATGACTTAAAAGACGACCTTACCTGTTCATTGATTTTGAAATTTTCCTCACTATACGTTTTGGTGGATTTTTGAGCATATGTTGACTAAATGCTTTAATTACACAATAATGAAAAAAGTTCAGGCTGGATAACCCAAAACTGCTCAGCAAAATACCTTTTCAAAATATGGAATGGAAATGATGTTTTCCAGTGATTATGCATCTGACAGAAAAGGGGGACATTATCTCCTATTCTCTTCTATAGATAAATAGAAGAAAGAGCCTCTTGTGACTTGTTAAATGCTCTACTTCATGTAAGCTCATATTACGTTTTTGTGTTTCTGAAAAGAAGCTCTTTAAGATTTGGTAAATAGGGAATTCGTAAGGGGCCTTTCGTACTGAAATCAACAAAAAAAGACAAGTAACCAAGTTCTAAGTTTCTGTCAAAAATGAGAATAGGTTGATGTGAATATGAATCAGAAAAGATCCAGTGAATAAATGAATAGATGTTGATGATTGCCATTTCCTCCCACCACATATAAAGACACATACAAATGGGCAAAAGCTCAACATCCCTTTCGATGTTTGTGTTGCCGACCTTCTGCAAAATCCTGCTCGCCTAGTTCCAATCCATTGTTACCTTCCTGACTTTATTTTAGGTAACTGGGCCCTTGTGGAATCAAAGGATGTTCCATCGGTCGAAGACATCAAAAGCAACATGCCGCAGTTGCCATTTGGTGCTACCGTGCGCAATGAAATATACAGGACATTTAATCGAATAGTTGATGCATTTATAGATACCAAAAAGCATCCTGTTTTGACTGAAGGGGAGTTTGCTACTCTATTCAACACAGAAGGTAGACTTATAGATCAGCAGCAACTAAGACTGCGTATTTTTAGTGGAGGCGTTGAAGGGAGGGCTAGAAAGGAAGTTTGGTCGCATCTATTAGGAATTTATCCTTCTGATTTATCATCAGTTGAAAGGGGCAGGTTTTTGTTAATGAGGAATCAAGTTTACCATCATTTAAAGCAGAATTGGTTAGAAAAAAGTCCAAAGAGTGTTAACGATCTAATTCACATGATACAGAAGGATGTGCTGCGTACGGACAGAAATGTTGAGTTTTTCAGCGTTCCCGAGGATCATCCAAATCTCGTTTCGTTGTTTAACATTTTGACTATATATTCACTGAATAATCCAGATACGTCATACTGCCAAGGGATGAGTGACATTGCCTCTCCAATTCTCCATGTGCTTGATGACGAAATGTTGTCATACTGGTGTTTCTGTGCACTCATGCATAGAATGAGACACAATTTTCAGCGGCAAGGCTTTTCAATGAAGGTCAATTTTCATATTCTCTTAGTTCTCTTGAAGAGAGTCGATCCCGAGGTGTCTTCACATCTTGAAGACATTGGCGCCGAAAACCTTTTCTTTTGTTACCGGATGTTACTTCTGGATTTAAAAAGAGAATTCCCTTTTGAGGAGGCATTGGGCGTTCTTGAATGTGTATGGAGTTCCATACCACCAGACAAGACCGATCCAGAGTCAATAACCGCATTTTATCATAAACTGTATCAACTGTATTACCCTCCTGGCACTGCCACAAATGGGACGTGGGAAGGCATATACACCAAGCGGAACAGCAAGGATACCAAGAGCTCCATCGTGTCGTCGCTGCCTCATCCTTGGCTTGTCAATTCAGGCTCACCAATGACACTCCTGCTTTGCCTCGCCATTTTGATGATAAACAGGGAACAAATTCTGAAACAGCCCGATTACAGCTGTTTGGGAATCTTCTTCGATAAAATGGTTCGAAAGCACGACTCATCCAAGGTCCTTAGCAAAGCAAGGGCTCTTTTTATTGAGTACATTAAAGCATTTTTAGATGGTCAGACTGTCGATTCGGATGTTGCCACAGATCCGGTTTGTCCATTCGCAAACTCGGATAAAGCACACTGCTAATTTTAGGTCCAGCTTGAAATTGATATGCAGAAAGTTTCCTGGTTCTCTGCTCATGCTATTCCGGTCACCGTCTTGTTTACATAATAACAACATCGATCAACATAATAAAGACGATTTAAGAATGTTTTTGCATCATCGGTATTGAGATCCTGTTTAAACATGAAGTAACGTAGTGTTGACGTCAATGGGCCTGATTCTATTGTCACGAAATGAATTTTCAGGCGAAAATAATACAGTCATGTAGGAGATAACTGCGCAGTATCAAACAAGAAGAATGTCAATTTTTGTAAAGTAGATTTTAAATCTAGCGCCTCCACAGTAATTGATTGACTATTTTGATAAAAAGAGCTATTTAATAGTTCGTTTTTACCTCTAAGTATGCAATTCCAGTATTGTTATTACATAGTTGTAAATAATCTATGTATGCATCACTTTGGGTCACTTAACAAATTTCGGGGTTCATTTATCGATAATGCAAGTAGATGATATTACCAATCTCCTTGGTCCATATAAGTTAGCTATTAAACGGAATTCTTTTTAAGCTTTTACTGAGCAGTATTGAAATATCGTCTCTAACGCCTTGTCGTTTTCCCGGTCCGCATCATTCTGCCCATTGAGACCCTTTCGAATCTCAATTAGATATGTGCATCCCAGTAGCCAGAGGGCAATCGGGTGCTAATGAGCACCCTTCTTGTGTCCCGAATCAACGAGGAACTGGGGAAAATGTCCATTTTGCAGAGAAGACTACCCCGTTCTCTCTGTTAGAAAACCTGGCCACGGGCCTTATGAGAAATGTGTGAATGAAGAAAAGGTTACTGTAGCAGGCTGCTCGACGGGCTCCAAGGAGTTCTTGCGGCGAAAAGTCGATAAAATGTAGCAAATGAGAAATGAGAAACCTGGTGGTAAAGTTCGTCAAAGATTACCCCCAATCTCATCAACTGCCTCGTATACAATCAAGACAGGTTGGAGCTGCTAACTGGTTAAAGCAATTCGAAGTTTGTGAATCACGTGGGGTTGTAGATTAAGGTCGAGCCATTCAACCTTCTTCATTCAACATTCAATCTCCATTCTTTTGCGGATGCCACATCACCCTGACAACTTTTTATAATCGATTTCCATTCATATAACTTGGTTTTGTGCCAAATATTTTTAATAGTAAGAATTTATTCCAACATTTAAGAAACGTATTTCTTTTCGAATTTTCATCTTATTCTAGATGGCGAAATAATATAACTTAACTAGGTATCAATGTTCTATGAATTCAATTGCAAATTGTTAATGAAATTATAAAGCAAAAAGGAAACAGAATATTATGATTATTGAAATTGTGTTTCTTTCTGTAGTCACGCTCAATGACTTTGAATCGGCTATGGGATTTGCAGAAGTACCCTTGCAGATGTTCTGCTCAGACGGACCTTACTTTTCTTATGCTTCTCAGACATGATCGCAGTATGTTCTTCTTTCACGACCAGTTGCTATTTTTGAAGCGAGTGTACTCGATCAGATAATTTGAATTCATAAGCCTTTATCTGAGCCTAAATCTGGTTCAATTAATCGTTAAGATAAAAGCAGAACGTGTCAGGCCAATTCAAAAGACATATAAGTATGTGGTGAAATCATCTTGTCATATAACAAGCCTTACTGACTCGGCCAGTTCCACCTTATTATTCGAGTTCGCGATGCTAGGATGGAATTCTATTATTCTATAGCTAGTTCAGTTCAAATCATGGTGGGTAGAGACTTCTTTTTTTGGCCGTGAAACCTCTTTACTTTTAAAATACTTGAATACTTTTAGGCCCCGTTCACACGGGAACGCAATCGTTCCGTTCCGTTCTTTTCCGTTCCGAAAAGCGGAACGCTCAGGGGTTGTGTTCACACGGGAACGCTTCAAACGACATCGTCCCGTTCCAAAAAGTGGAACGATAAAATAAGTGATACGAAAAGTGGAACGGTACGCAATCGTTCCGTTCTGTTCCCGTGTGAACGCGCAGAACTGGTCCAGAAAATGGAACGATAAGAGTTTTGCCCTTGGCGCATGCGTCTGTGTTGTTGTTGAGGGAAGGAAAAGGTGACAATAATAAAATCAGCGAAAAAAATGGAGGATTTCAAAAACACCATTGGTTGAATCTCGCCGTTAGTCCATTTAAAAGATTCAACACCATTCTGCAAACATTGAAATTCCTTCCTTTTAGGGTTGGCTTCAATTTTCCCACGAGCTTGCTTATTTTGGGGCGCCTTTGTATTCTCCATTTTTTCAAATTGTTTAAAAAATTCAGAGATAGCTCAGAGATAAATCGAAATGATGAAATCTATCTCCATTATGGACATGCACATTAAAAATCATTCGCTTATTTTGGCGCGCAAATTGCAGAACGGAACGATTGCGTTCCCGTCTGAACATAAACAAAAATCGATACGCACCGTGTGAACAGTATACCTTTTCGTTCCAGAAACTGGAACAAAAATGGAACGGAACGATTGCGTTCCCGTGTGAACGGGGCCTTAGAATGAAAATCTAAATTTTGTTGATTAACGATGGACCTTGTTTGGGCTACAGAGAAAATTGATAAATCTCGATGACATTTGCCGCCATTGTATTTACTGTGGTTTTGCCCCACTTGTGTCATGGCGTCGCGAACTCCGGGATGGTCGCGGTGGTAGTATACACGAACGCGAACAATTTCGTGGTATGACTGAAACCAGGGGTGGTGCCAGGGGAGGGCTATGGGGCTACAGCCCCCCCGTCGGAGCGAAATTTACACGTATAAACTAGATAAGGCAAAACGTGCGGTTCCTGTTTCTTTTTTACTTGGCATAGTTATTGGAACGCAATTCTATTAGTGTTGGCATAGTTCGATGGCGGTTTTTACTTGCTTCCTCGTGTTTCAAGGCTTTAGTACCAAAATAGTTAGCCCACCTCCCCCTCCTCGTCGGAAGCATCAGCCCCCTTGTCGGAACTTTCCTAACGTCATCCCTGACTAAAACCAGGAATGCTCGTGATCCTTTCTGTCATATCTACTTTATACAGTTGAACAATTATCACTCGAGCCCGTAGCCAGGCCTTTGGCGTAGGGGTGGCAAATTCAGGCGAAGTTTAAAGTGAAGTTTTGTGTAGGGAGGGGAGCGGGGTGCGGAGAGTTAGTGGAAACAAAGAAGCAAAAAAGTTGTAAAATGTCTTCAGAAATAAAACAACTTTTTTCCTCTTAATTTCTAATCAGCTAGAAAAGTTTTAATTGTTACGTATTCCATCAAGATTTCATTTTCAAAACGCAAGACATGCAAGATTGTTCTCCCTCTCTGTCCGCAAAAAACTTCGCTGAGAGGAATCTATCCTTGTTTATGCAGCATTTTTCAAAGTCTCTATGTGTTGATGTGAAGCCAACAGTGACTGCAACTTTTAGAAATTAGTAAAAAACGAGTATCGGCTAGATGAGCTCGCTTTCTGGTCACTTCACATCTTGAAGCATTCGAGAGATGACTTGCACACAGCTTGGAGAAAAAACATCAAGCTCCTCGAATGTTTTCTCCAGAACAATAGATATTTACGCTGCATTTTTATATAGAGGTATCAGGGTCTCGTAATAAAAGTCATCAGTAAACAATTTTCCTTCCGTCAGAGTTATCTTGACTCAAATTGTCATGACAAGCCAATGAAAACGACGAAAAAGCCCATTAAGAAAATTGGAGAGAAATTATACGGGTGGCAAACAGCTGGTATACTCTTGCCACCCGCTGGCTACGGGCCTGTTTGCACCACTGATCTATAAAAAAGACTGGATCGAGCTTCTTTTGTGACCAGAGTGTTGCCATCCGAATAGAGGGCCCCAGAACAGCCCATGCAAGGAGACGGCCTTCTCTGTCACCCCTAGCAATGTTTTCAGCTACTCTGGCCTTGATCTTTTTCAGCAATCATACACATAGCATTGCAGCTCTCGCATATCCATCTCGTTGAAGTATTGGTTTTGAGGAATGGCTTCCCGCTATTGTTTGGGGCCCTCTTCCTTTTGAAAATGAACGGGGTTCAAACTTTGGTGTTTCAAGACAATGGGAAGCTCGATCCAATCTTTAATATAGATCAGTGGTTTGCACTGCAATTTGCGCTTTCGAAGGCTTCATGTCTGCACTCAGTTCAGAATCCTCTGGAGTCTAAATCTAGAAAAATAATTCAAGATACCCCGAAAACTCAATCTGAATCTGCGTCCCGAGTGTAAACGAGTACTAATTTGGTTAGGGTGCTTTCGATTTTCGAAGAGCATTACTGTTCTCGAAATCCCTGATGTTCCCCCGAATCAGTGGCACCATTTCCGTGGTTCGATGGCACGATTTCCTTGTATGGCATGTATGAAAGCGCCCTGGCACAATTGAGATATTGAAGAAAGGTCCTGCATCCTCTAGTCAAAATTTCTGAGGTTTTCCAATAAATTGGGTGCTTTTTGAGGAACTATAGCACTCCTACTCTCCCATGACTGCGCACTCGCCCAAAATTGCCTCCAACAACAACCATATCCCACAATTCCATTACCTCTTTCCTCCCGCTATTTCAGAGAAGTGACGTCAGTGCTATTTATGTGGTGTTCTAAAGAAACATGGAAATGGAGGGCAAAATACTCTTGTCCCCATACTTTTTCGCATAGGAAATATAATTATCAAAAAGGTAAGATTATTTCAATAATATTTTCAGAGCTTCATTGCCAGTCATATTTTTTTGTTTTTGTGATGTTTGTGTCACGTTTTGCTGTCTTGCTCCTCCAGTTAGATTTAGGCCTACAGTTATAATTTTAGTTATAGTTTTATTTACAGTTAGGCCTTTAGTTCATTTAATTTCAAAATTCTACATCATACAATTCAATAGCAAGTTAAAAACAACAAATATTAATAACATACAGTATAAATATGTCATAATTTGAGGGAAGAAAAAAATAATACAAAGAGAAATTACAACTAAATCTGATAATACTAGAAAGTAACAACCATGCAGATTAGACAAGAAAAGATTTTGCAAGAAAAAAACTGTCCCACAAAACTTGCCCCCATTTATGAATTAGCTAAACAATTTAAAGGAATTGTATGCAGGGGAATTTCTCAAGGAGAAGCTCTCTCAGTAAGTAGCTAGGCTAATCGAGGAGGCCTCTAGTTTTAGGCCTGGGTTTTGTAAGACCACCATAATGGTCAACCAAAGGCAGATGCCCAATAATAACATTGGTGGATTTCTAAGCTATACTAGCCCGTACTCATGAGTATTATTACTATACTACTCCAACTTTTGTATATATGTATTGATAATTATCTTTAGCATAAATAACAGGACTAAGTAAAGCTTGTCTTCAGCCTGGCTTATCAAGGGTTTCCTTGAATAATAATGTATAGATATATTATATAATATAAAGAAATTATCCGCAGGAATACAATTTTGTATATATTGTGCGAAATGTGATGTCTTTTAAGGATGTGTTGAAGTATGGCAAGTTCATATATTGTCATATGCATATTTGAAACTGTTCACAGATATCGAATTCTTAAAATTGTTGGGTAGGTCATTCTATGGATTTACCACACTTGAAAGAAATTTCCATTTAGTACAGTTCTAAAAGGTTGCCCAACGAGATCTTTTGTCAGTATTGCACTTTTTGCAGTGATTTGAGTTGTTCTTTTTGTTGCATGTGTGTGGTTTTTGAAGATTGAGAAGAATTGGCTTGATACCTTTAATGATTTTGAACAACTCTATCATTTCCCCTCTAGCTCGCCTTGCCTTCAAAGATAGTAGTCTCAGTGTTTTTAATCTTTCTTCATAAGTACCCTGCCGACCAGATACAGCATTTGCAGCATGTCATTGCACATTCTCAAGTAAATCAATACCCTGAACAAGCCATGGACTCCAGGCCTGAACACAATATTCCAAGTTAGGTCGTTCATTCTGTTTGTATAACTGGATGAAAATGTGACGGTCTTGGAAGGTGAAGCTCTGACCAATCTAATTGCTTAGTTGATGTACAAGAGGTTGTATCATTGGCAAACTTTAGCAAGTAACAGGGGAGAGCATAAACCGACGTTGCTAAAACGAGGAACAAGCGGAACAACCCAGTAACAAGAGGAACAACCCAGTAACAACCCAGTAACAAGCGGAACAACCAAGGAACAAGCAAAACAACCCAGAAACAAGCGGAAATGTGAATTATTGTTTAGTAAATACCACATGGGGGCGTTTATAATCCAACTCTCTGAAGTTCGTGTGGGCTAGAACTATCAAGAGGCCGTCAATCATGTCTTCGTCTGTTTCGGAGGCTTTGTGATTTTGCCAACGGACAGAGAGAATCTATCGACCCCGGATCGGGACGAAAAATAAATAGTAAAGCATGCGTATACATTCGATCACAACAGACACACTGTTGCAAATAGATGTGCATGCCATAGTGTAAATCTGTACATGTAGCCCTGTTGCAATCACATTTTTCAGGCCCGTCGGAGCCGGGGGGCTGGGGGGGGGTTTCTGAAGCCCCACCAATAATTGTCTTACTGTAGTATGTTTCCTTTATAACAATGTACTGCATGGGAAGGAATACAATGGGCAGCCTCTTACAACTTATAATTTGGATTAAAGAAGAGGTTAACTTTCCGCCTCAGTAAAAATGATTCTAGGCAAACCATCAGTTTCCTGGTTCCTGGATTTTCCGACTTTTATCCCACGACAGGGCCATGATTTTTCTTGTAGGCACATCAATGTCATTTTTCTCCCCAGGCGATTGAATGGCGCAATATCGTGAAATTTTGATGGTAGGGTGACAAACACGCAACCGATGTTTGGCGTTTCCATCATCATCATCATAAAAAAATTTATTTATCTAAATAAAATTAGTTGAAGAGCCATAATACACTCTAAATACAATCATATCTAAGTACACAAAACATAACGTCATCAGAACTGAAATAAATAAATATTTTGACATATTCAGATATTCTTATTTTCATTGCTTTAAATTCTTTCCTATAAAACATGGCAAGTAGATAAACATAGAAAATTTCCAGAAGACCAGAGGTTTTCCGACAAAATAGGAGTCTAGCTCGAGGGGCAAATCACTCCAAGAAAATCTTGTACACCTTTTATAAAAATCCTATTACTTTATCTGATAATCCCTAGAAATCCTTTTGTTTTGGTAAAATCTTGTACGCAATTTTCAAGAGTGAATTGCCCCTCGGTCTAGCTCTACAGGGTTTTGTTGCCCCCCTCTGATTCCTTCTATCTTAGCCACTGCCGCCAGTGCAGTTTACCCAGCATAGCTATTTTAGCAACCAAAATAGCCACCAGAGCAGCCACCATTTTCAAAAAATTTCTGGGGGAGCATTCCCCATACCCCTTTAGGCATACTTTACTATTTATTTTTCGTCCCGATCCGGGGTCGATAGATTCTCTCTGTCCGTTGGCAAAATCACAAAGCCTCCGAAACTGATGAAGACATGATTGACGGCCTCTTGATAGTTCTAGCCCACACAAACTTCAGAGAGTTGGATTATAAACGCCCCCATGTGGTATTTACTAAACAATTAATTCACATTTCCGCTTGTTACTGGGTTGTTCTGCTTGTTCCTGGGTTGTTCCGCTTGTTACTGGGTTGTTACTGGGTTGTTCCGCTTGTTACTAGGTTGTTCCGCTTGTTCCTCGTTTTAGCAACGTCGGAGCATAAACTGCTTTATCAATATTATTGATGAATAGGATGAAGAGGAGAGGCCCAAGAACACTTCCTAGGGGCATGACAGAAAATACTAGTGCCCAATACAACTCCGACCAGTTCAGTACTACTCTTTGATTTGGCCCATTGAGCCATGATTCAGTATATTTGTCCAGTGATACCATGTGCTTTTATCTTGGAGGGAAGATGCTGATGTGGTACATGAGCAAATGCCTTTAAGAAGTCAAGATAGAAAACATCAATGTTGTGGCCTTGATCAAGAAGACTAAGTTAGTTTTTCCATGTATTCAAGTAGGTTGGTCAGATAAGATCGGTGTGATACAAAACTATGCTTTGATGTGTAGAGCAATGTTAAGGATAAGATGTGATCAACTATGATCTTGTAGATTAGGGATTACAAAATCTTGCACACAATGGATGTCAGAATTGTAGGTCTGGAATTCTTGGCTAGTAATCGGCTGCCCTTCTTAAAGACAGGGGTAACAACTGCTACTCTCCAGTCTTCAGGCACTTCACGAGTTGTCAAAGATTTGTTGAAAATTTTAACTACCAGTATATCGACAACTTCCTTGAGCTCCGAGAGAACCCTAGGGGAGATCGTGTCAGGACCAGTTGTAGCACTGGATTTTACATTTGAAATTAAAATAATATACTTTTTAAATGTAAATCTAAAGAAAACTGAGCAATATGGCTCATTTTAATTTGCTCTTGGTGCCTAAACTTCTTTTGTGCTGCAAAGCAATCTCATTTGTTGTAAGTTATAATTGTTAATTGCTAAAATGTTCCCTTATTTTAGCACAATGTCATTGAGACAAAGTTCAAATTATGTTTGGTCTGTTGCTGATGTCATTGGGCATGGAGCAACAGGATGTGTTTACATTGCCAGAAGCAAGGTAAGTAAAGACTTTCTTTTATTTTCATTCACTTGTACTAATTTACAGTCCACATATCAAGCCTTCAAAATATAAGCAACATAAAATATTAATCTTTAATCTCTATATTTTTTGTGCAGAAAGATGGAAAACCATATGCAGCAAAAGTTTTTATGATGTCCGTACAAATGCGCTCATCTCAAATCAGAATGAGGGAAACTGCCTTGCTGAGAAAATTGCAACATGAAAATGTTGTAACACTTGTTGCTGAAGAGGCTGAGGTAAGAGCTGTTTTGACTCATTTGGAAATGTCTATTGGAGGTGGATGGGGTAAATTTATTTAATAAATTCTGCAAAACTGTATGGGCCACAGCGATAAATTACCTAGCATTGTATTTAGGATAATAGACAAAACTTCTGATCACAATACTCTGACAGAAGATCAATGAATCACAATACTCTGAATTTCCTTAGCATAATTTCTTTGATACATGGCTGAAATTGCATTTGTATTCTGACACTCATGCATTGTTTATGCCTTTGTTTTGATATTCCCATGTCCTTTGTAAATCTAGCTCAAACATTTTCTTGTTGCAGTGTAGTTTTAATATACCTAGGTACAGCTGATTGTTTTTTCTACTTTAAACTGGGCTGATGTTTTGATTGCTTTGTTTTTGCAAAGGATTTAATTTGGCTCTTGTACCACAGAGGAAAAATCTTATTAAATGCAAGAGAAATTATTCGAATTCATTTGTGAAAGGATATTTGACTATTTTGAATTTATCTTTTTTGTTTTTTGTTTTTATATAATACTGGGGCAAAATCGTTTGTCATTGCCCAACAAATTAGAGAAGCCTTTTTATTACTGATGAGTTTCTAGTATTTTTTTAGATTATGTACATGTAGAAATTCATTCCAATATGGGTTGCAAATTTTAAAACACTGGATAAATTGGAATGGAATTACCCATTGGTAAATTGCTTTTCAGGTTGGCTCAAAAGCCACAGTGTTGATCATGGAGCTGTGTGATTCAAGTTTGTACCACATTCTTGAACTTCCAGAGAATTATTATGGCTTGTCTGAAGATGAATTCAAATGTGTTTTACAGGATGTAGGTAAGCAGGAAGTATACTAAGCTGTTGTCATTTGAAGTTCTTTTGTTTTGTTTATTTTTTATGCTAACTTTATTGGAAAAACCATTCATTTGCAATATGACCAAGAATTTTTGAGCTTCGCCATCATCTTCTTGCGTTGTCTTTGAGTGGTCCCTCCACTTGGTGGAGAAAAACATTCTTGGTCATATCCAAAAAATCTGCTTGATCCTGTTCAAGTATATCAAAAGCCTGTAAGTTGTATTGTATTACCTTTTCAAGAGCAGTATTTTTGCCAAAGTCATAAATTTGTATTCAAATCCTATTTGCTTTTGTATTGTTTAGCTTCTGGAATGAAGTATCTCAGAGAGCACAATGTTGTACATAGGGATGTGAAACCTGGAAATATTTTGCGAAAGCGATCATCAACTGGAGGGTATATACTTTTGAATTTTTAAATTTTCAGTATTTGATAGCTAAGTACCAAATTGAATTTTAAATCAACATGACAAGACAGCTTTTTTCTAATTTTTGAAGATATTCAGATTTTTTTGAGTTCACGATATAATTTTCTTCCAGCCACACAAAGTAAAGAACACTTCATATTGGCCCAGGGAAAGTTTTTTCTTGATGGAGGCAACAACATCTCTCTATGGCTACAATTTTAGATAAAAATTTTGCTGCAAAATTACATTTTTTTAGCTAAAATTGACTCAGAATCATAAATATTTTATATTTATACAAATCCACAAATTAAATTAACAAATCAATTCAGAAATGCATCTAACAATGGAGCCAATTTTTGCTTGCTGAAAATTTAAGCGATATTTATAGAGTGACTCTGCAAATAATTCAACATTATCCAATTGTTCTTCCTGTGATTTAATAGGTCAATTTACAAGCTCACAGATTTTGGGGCGGCAAGACAATTAAATAATGCAGACCAAAGTTTTATGTCTATATATGGAACTGAAGAGTACCTGGTAAGTATACATTTCACTCTTATTCAAGTTGTAGAAGAATGATTTTTACAAGGTGAATAAATGCAGATAAAAATTGTACAAAAATGAAATTTCGTTGACAAATATTTTGATACCAAAAGAGAACTTGTTCATCCTTCTGTTGAGTAATGTTAGCTAGACAGTGTTAATGAACCTGGGTTTTGCCAACCAGAGGGAGCTTTTGGAGTTGTGTCAGAATGGCTGTGTCAAAGGCAGGGGCTGGAAATCAATAGAATTTGTGTATTTAGATCATAATTTATTTTTAATTTGTCGCAAACACCTGATGGATTCTCTTGTGAATTATTTTGATATGTGAACATGAACAAATAATAAATATATTGGTTATCAATGTTCAAATTTTCTAACATCCATTAGTAAGTTTCGCCCTCTTTTTTTTTTAATGATTTCCGCGAACTTACAGGAATGATTTTTAAACTGTTCCTTGTATTGATTTTTAGCATCCAGACGTTTACGAAAAGGCAGTGATGAAGAATTTTAGCAACAAAAAATTCACCGCAGCAGTAAGTTTCCACATGATTGATTTACCAAGAAATGATAGATTAAAAGTAGCTACAAGCTTACGTGCCGTAAAAATGTGGCTGTTTTGAACGAAAAAATCGATTCAACTTACGCTCTCGTTTCGAAAAATACGTCCAACTTCTTTCTACTAAATTTTGCGCTCAAAGTCGGATTGTGATCAGGAACTTTGGCCTCCTTCAAAATTTTTCAGGAAGCTAGTGCTTTTGATATTAATTTATGAATCGGAATGGTTTTCCCGGATTAATCATTATCTTTTGTGTTTTTTAGCTTTTGATATCATTCTCGTAGGTTGATCTGTGGAGCATGGGGGTCACATTCTACCACGCTGCGACAGGACAGCTGCCATTTAGGCCGTATGGGGGCAGACAAAACAAAGACACAATGTATGTATATTTACAATCGTAATGTCCCTTTGATACGTAAATTCGTTTTTTATATATTCTCATGTGGTGTTACGGAGTACCTAAAGAGATTTTTGTCTCGACGCCAAACTCAAAAACTTCCTGGCTTGAATTTTTTGCATCCTCTAAAGAGCATTTTGAAGGTAAACGTCTCTTTTTGGGGCTTCAGGAAGCAGTTGCTTCGTTTTCGATCACTTAGATTTTGCCAGTTTGTCAATATGTTGGTTGTGAAGTGGAAAACACCAGCATGGCCAAGCAACCATTTCAACGTTGGCTGATCAGCATATATCCAGCAACTCCTTTGGCTCTGAATTCTACCAAAGACTGCTTGAATGTAAGATTTTTAAAATCCTCTTTTAGGTTCGAGATAATAAGTAGAAAGGGCCCGAAAATAATTTCTGGCATACAAAGAAGTAATGGCGGCCGTATAGAGTACGATGATGACCTACCGGAGGAGACAAGAATATCAAAGGGTTTGAAAGTCCTATTGCGGCCAGTATTGCAGGAGCTTTTAGAAACAAGTGGAGAGGGTTTGGAGGACCTTATCAGTTTTGAACAATTTCACAAAAAGGTTGAAGACATCGCCTCTCGACAGGTACAAAGTTTCATGCTATTCTGTGTTAATTTTGACTTTAAGTCATCTTTGTGACTGATGTATTTTATTATGGATTTTATTTCGAAGAAAACGTGGCTTTCTTGGAATGAAATTCATAATCAATTTCCACAAGATACGTGCGGCCCAATGTGATGCACGTATCCTAGTCTTGCTTGTATACTTTCCTGCATCAATTCAATAAGGGGTCTAGCATTTTTAAACACAAAAAATTAACATTCCTAAAATTATTATGCTTGGTAGATATTCCTAAAATGACGATCTAATCTCCGATTATCAATTTTGAGTGTAGGAAGTTAAATCATTGTATTATTTGCCATTGTTCTTTGGCGAAATTTGAAATTTTGGGGAAATTGGTGGGTCAAATTGATTGAGGTTTCTTTTAGCAATCTGATCCGAACAATTCTACATCAACTAGGGAGCTGATATGCCTAGACCAATAAAACCACTATTTATATATTCATTTTCTTTCAATTTTAAAATAGCTGATTCCTTGTATTGCTAGCCGATAGTTTATTCATTAAAAAGTAAGGCTCCTAGATTTGTGACATTCAAACGAGGACATCAGTACCTGTTTGGTTACTTGCGATATCATTTCTTTTTAGTACTGAACACCAATTATTGTTTGTCTATGCTCTTGAGGTCGTTGGTTGATCCCAGTTTAGTGGACAAATTGACTTGTGTAAAAATGAAATGATTTTTATGACTATTATTATATTATGAGGCTTTTTGAGATATAGCTCAGATGAATTATCCTTTTGCTAACACTAAAAGCCAGGACCTTTTCAGACTCTTTGAACTGTTTAATGATATTTGTGTCTTATCGTGTACATTTTGATCCGCACAGCAAATAATATAACATGTTGGTTTACCTTTAAGGTGGTCGATGTTTTTGCTTTGGGTTCAAGCACATTTCACAAGATCTACATGAAAAAAGATGAGCAGTAAGTTATGTGTTTTTTTCTGTGTCGAGTTAACATAGCCTTATACTGTGACCAGCTCTTTGTTTACTTTGCTTCTTATTCAACTTGCATATTCCATTTGTATCGAATTGGTTTACAAGGTATCGAGATCGCTTATATAATTGTAATTTAGATTTTATGGTGTCTTAAGAACATTTTTGATTTAGCCTTGGTTATTGTTTTGAAAATAAATAGCATGAACTACTACATGATATGTTAGTTTTTGCTAATAAACTTACTCGTTTGTTAATTCATAAACAATATATACCCATAGATACCTTTGCACTTAATTCAACCGTCTTATTCTCAAATATACTCTTAGTCCTAATAGAATATAAAATCTTGCAAAGAATTTTGGTGATACAAAATTTAAAGATGGCTTGAAAAAAATATTTTCTATAGGCAAGCGGCACTGATTGTGAAATCTTTACATTAGCGTTCTTGCGTTTCTGATTGGCCTATTTCGGTCCCAGTTTTGGTATATATATTTCCAAACTGAAAATTTCCCAGAATTATTTTATACTCTGAAGATTGTCAGACTAAAAGTTTTGATATTTCTAAAAATGGTGGCTTTTTTAAAATCCATATTTAGTCAAAACATTATATATTCAATTACATTTTACAGTATTTTACAGTTTCATTTCACGTTCTTTAACATTCAAGCAATATTTCGGCTTCACTTCTCATTAATGACCTGGCAATAATTGATAAGTGGGGCAATCGCGTTAGGTTTATTCAATCTAGAACCATGCAGGCGTTTTTCGTGTAAACGCAACCCTGACTTTCCTCTTGTTTCCCGAAATGGTACTGAATTGAATATGATGCCTCTGCTTCTTTTTTACAACTAGGCCTTTCTGTATCATCCAACCTTAATAGGAAATCTGACATTTCTTCCATTACTAAACATTTAGCCCAAAAGCTACGTATCTTCTCTACGTATCAAGTGGACTCTTCTCACTTTCACAACTCTTAGTAATTTGATAAGTTCAAAATCCGCCTTTCTTTGGAGTACTGCTCCCTTATTTTGGGTGTTGCTCCAAAATATTCTCGCCCCTCCTTGACAAAACCCAAAGCCGTTCATCTCATTAACAACCGCTCCACTACAACCTAACAAAGACTCTAGTGCTCACTATTTCCAAGTCTTTTTACCAAATTCACGAACACTGTCCTTCATCTCGTCCTTCATTCCCATACCTTGTGAAATTCGGTACCTTTTACCCTCTTCTTGCTCCCCAGACTTGCTCAGCCTGTCTTTATTACCCACTAGAATAGAGAAAAAATATCTCAACTCTCTCTTTTGTTTATCCCTTCATCATTTCTCTTGTTAGAGCTTTGTTATAGGTTCCCAGGCTTTTGCCTAACAAACCATCTACGAATAGTGGATTTACTAAGCGAATTCATTCACCAGACTGCTTGTTTGGAAATACGTTGTGTATGTTTTTAGATGAAGCAAAATCTTTGCTTATGCCTGTTGCGTTAGTTGTAATTTCGTTTCTGTGCTTTTGCTTTAGGTTTGAAGATTTGAAAAAGAGCATTGCGACCCACACTGACGTAAAAGAAGAGGAACAGCTGCTATTTTTAGCCAATGATGAGTTTAACCCAAGTCAAAACACCCCTTTACATGGATTCCCGAAAATATCAGTATGTTATTAGAGTATTCAAAATTATTCTTTGCTCAAATGAATTTCCCAATTTATTCATCCTTGATTTGTAAGTTTTGATATATATTTTCAGCCCCACTGCATTCTATTATTAGCCCCCAATTAATATTGGTATAAAAGTAAAATTTTTGTACAATTGCCATTTTTCTTAAATCTTATATTTTGAGTTGACATTACTTTTGTACATTCTACCTTTATAACATCCTTTTATTGCAACCTTTTATTTTTGATTTTTTCGCCATTCTTCTAATTTCTATCTTATTGTTTTCATCTTAGAATGCCCTCTGGGAGATCTTTTTCGTCTTGATTTTTCTTTTTCTTTACATCTCTTCAATATCCTTTTTCTTTAAATCCCTTCATTTTTGTTTTTCTTTAAATCCCTTCATTTTTGTTCTTCTTTAAATCTTTTCAATATGCCTCTTCTTTAATTATCTTTATTGTTGTATTGCTTTGTCTGTTCTAATTCATTTAATCATTTCATTATTCTTCTTCTTCAATTCCCGTACTTCTGTTCTTCTCTAATTGTCTTGAATATTCCACTTCTTTAAATCTGTTCATTCTTATTCTTCTTTTAATGGCTTGATTATTCTTATTCTTGATATCTCTTCATTATTCTTCTTTTTGTTGAGATCCCTTCATTATTATACAATATTTTCTCGATATTAATCCGCATCATGCTCTTGCAGCGTGAGAACCCTTTGATTGTCATTGGAGGAAGATCCACTCCACACGCGCAATTATATCAAAGAAAAATAAGTATGTTGTTTACATATACATTTTCGTTCTTAAAAGGCGCCTGAGAAAGTTTCACTAACTTTGATTCATTTAAGAAATATTTTTAAAAAGATCCATGCTGAAGACGGTGAAGATAATTGCAAATCAACAAGCAAAGAAAATCACTTCCAATACTAATATATGCGAACAAAGTAAGCTAACGTTTTTCCCCGGCATGTATGGCTTCGTAGAAGTGAGTTTGATTTGGTAAAGGAACTTGTTTTAGTATTTGCCTTGTTAAAATAAACAGCTTTTAGCAGTTTTTGCAAACCATTTCTCGGAAAGAGTTATAAACTCTAACCTAGCCCCTCTTTTATTTTCTTGCTGATGCATGTTGCACCAAATCTTTTTAACTTTCAGATGAATGCTACTATACATTGTTACATAAGACTTCTGCTAGCTAATTTTTCAATTTCTCTCTCACCCTTATTTTTGTATTCTGGACATTAATTGTCTCTTCCTAGTTAGTTCTTTATTTTTCTTTTCATTAAAGCGATTGTTTATCATAGGCCTACACCCAGAGAGATTTAATTAAAACGAGACATGTCGGTAAAGCATTGAAATAATGGGCATCCGATAGGGCTCAGCCAACACCCGCCTTTAGTTCATCACAAATTAAGATCTTAATTTCTTTTTTTGCAGCAAATCTACCCAAAATTCCCACCGGAAAAGCAAGATCAGATAACGATATTGACATTCTAAAGGTTTGTGTTGATTTGCACGAGTTAATTTGTTAATCCATAAATAATTTGTTTGTTGAAGGCCGTAACCTCTCTGCTTGTTGACTGATTGCCAGAGTTAGCCAACAATTTGTTTAGCAGTTAAAGCTTCAAAGGAATTTTCTGTGATTTCATTCATTTCATTCATTGCCCATGTAGCTGTTGGTGAACGCCTTTTTAGGAACATTCTTTTACAAAACATATTTAAGCAAAAGTTTATGAGATATATAATTTATATCAACATAATTAATGTATTTAATTAACGATCAATGTAAGTACATTGTACCAGGAAAATTTTTTTAAAATAATTAGCGACGTTTCGAGCATAGCCCGTTATAAATATACGCATTTTAGTATATTTATATAATTAATGTATGTTGATAACATCTAGACTGGACGTTAAAGCCTGTATCTGGACTTCTATGTGAGCTTGTTTTCTCGTCGATCTAGTGTTCCATAAATGTCACATGCCTGCTTTAAGAATCTATTTCTCGTGCTAGTAGGAAACTCAAAGAAGATTTAGTGATCCATATTAATTCATGAAATACTGCACATTTATCACCATGCTAGAATCAGGACTATTGTTTTCACCTCATTGCTGATTAACCGAAACGGTCGAGTAACAACTTAATGTTTATTTAAAGCCTTCAAGCATTCGAAACGGCTTTTGCAGTTTTGTGCTGGGAGAACTGGTGCACACTGCCATTGATGATTGGGTTTCTTGCAAATGTTAGCTCAGCTCTTTGGTAAGGCTCTTTTGACCGAACAAACGAATCTTCGACATGATGTTGACTATTCACGTTCTTTTCCTCCAGATATACGCAAGCATGTGCTTTGTTTATCAGTTCAGTGCCGAGGAGCTGTACCACACTGCAGTGGCAATACAGCTGGCATTTGATACCACATCGTGAGTACAGTGCTCATGCTTGATACCTCTGTGGCCCTCGCCATTCTAACAGCTAGTGATTTCACTAATAGCATGTTTTGTCCTATGCGCCATAATTATACTTAAGTTATAAAAAACCAGGATTATAGGAATGCATTGATGACGAACCAATTTTTATGTTTCTTTATCAGGTTTGTTTCATGACTCTGAAATTGTTCTGGGGAACGTAGAGATTTTGGGTTTCACTTCGATTACTTGTTGCATTAAGACTGTTTTATGCTTTTATAATGCATAATATTTTTAAAATTCCTTTTTATAATTGATGGTCTGATTGGGTATTGTCCGTAAACTTTTTAGAGCCACCTCGCTCGATGTGTCACAGGAAGTGTATACATGAAACTAGATTTTTGATCCAAGAATCTGAACTCTTTCTGTTTTCAATACAGATCGATCATAAACACTAGACTGAAGCAAACGAAGGAGCTGCACAAGAGTCTGGATAGACGAAAAATGCTCATCGATCAAGTAGTTTTTAGGTATTTACTTTTTGTTGTGACAACTGTGTCGTATATCGGTCTTCATATTTCATTTGCAGCATGTAGTTTGAAAGTTTATTTGACAGACCAGCAGCATTCGTGGTTTATTATGAAACATTAAATATTTGAAATATTATCAAACGTAACAGTGTTTGTAACATGTTCACTGGGAAACATTGCTCGATATCTACCTTAATTTGATACTTGCTTCCACTTCATTCAAGGGCGAATAAGGAGCTATTCGACATGAAAACAGCGCAACACCCCACAGTCAATGGTATGCAAAGCTAAATGCATTTTGTCAACATTGAATAGAATGGATGCAATCAATTTATCTTGTCAGCTGCTTTTTTCAGTTTATTGCATGTTTAATTATATTATATGTATTCCATTTGCGTTTTTTTACATTTTCCATCCTAGTTTGTTTTTTCATCTAATTTAATTGATAAAGTTGAATGTTTACCAAGTTTTACTTCTATCGCGAATAATCTGAAAATGAGGAAGCAGATTCTTTCAAATCACACTTTACTCATTCTTTTTCACACCTATTTTTCCAGGAGTCCAATCTGATTCATATCTACCAGATAACCAGGTATATTTTTAAACATATGTCATATTTGCTCCATATGTCCGTAGCCGTGTCTAGAAAAGTGTTTATCCTTCTCAAACAACACCCCCGTGTTTTGTGTGGTACACGATTACTTTTGTTTTATTGGTTTTCTACAGGGTTAATAACTGTTTGACCGCATTAGTATCTTGACTGGTAGACGTCATGTTTGCCCCCTGGGCCGATGCAAGACATCATTTTTGATAATACTCATACAGTTTAAATTAGCACACATACTTAACAGTTTCACGTGAGAACAAGATAATTATTTTGATCGAGGCTTCTTGTTTTTTCATCGGAATTCCGGACACATATATTATTTTTCAGTTCTTACTACAAAATTTCCGTTGTTTCAAAAAAGTTGACGCTTTTTTTTGTTTTTTTGTCATGTTATATCTTAATTATCTCATGTTATATCTTATCTTATAAATCCTATTGAAATTAGATTTAAAAGGTTTATAAGGAAAGATTTATAACAATCTTATATCTCTGCCTGGAAATTCGTGTTGCTAAAAAGTTAGGATACTTTTCTAGAACGTTTTTGCTCATATTTCCTGAAAATTAAATATCAGTTTTCTTTATGATTTCTTAAATATCAATTTATTGGTGAACACTTCGCAGTTTTGACTTTATGTTCAAATCTTGTAGCGAAATTGTTTGGAGCAACTACAAAATTTGCTAAGCAGTACAAAACCGGCCCTGGATGCTGAAAATTGCTGTGTTCCGGAAACCTACAGTCTTACAAAAGCTTTTCATTGGTAACAAGCAAATGTCTTACTTACCCCTCTTTATTGTGAATAATGTTATGTTTTGTTTCTGCTAACCAATGCATTTTGAAGTTTGGAGAAGATGTCGTCGAATGTTTGAGGAGAGGTAGTCAAAGAGGAAAGGTAGTTGTAGAGGAGAGAGAGGTAGTTGGAGAGGAGAGGTAGTCAGAGAGGAGAGGTAGTTGGAGAGGAGAGGTAGTTAAAAAAGAGAGGTAGTGGGGGATGAGAGGTAGTTGGAGAGGAGAG